GGCAGCAGGAAAGCCAAATTATGGACACCTGGAAGCTGGAGCAGACCTGTTAATATTGACGTTAACCTTTGAGAGGAATCAGGGTGCTTTGCTTTACAAGCGGGAAGGGGCGGGGAGGGATTTGGGGCTTGCCATTTCATCTTTGGTTTTAGCTCAAGATGTCTTATCTATTATTGCAAGCCGCCTTGAACCAAAAGGAAAGGCAGGGTAGAAATGTTTTAATAAATATATAAATAAACATGTGACTTGGGCTGTAATTCTATGCATACTGAAGAACAAGCCGTTTTCATGGTTTGATTGACTTATAAGAGGTTTGGGTAGGTTTTGTGACACTTTTGCATCTTGAATTGATCCACTGTTCATTATTTGAAGAGGGCTCAGAATTCTTCCCCCAGACAATGCCATACCCAGTTGTCCCACATTAATAATGCCATTTATAATTTACAAAACAGACTTTCCCATCTTATTCCACATTTAGAGTGATACCAAGAATTAATAAGGATAACTCCACACATCTTCCTAATGATATGCCACTTCCTGGAAAGTTGATATATTCATAGTTCATAAACATCGAATTTGGTAAGAGTGTCTAGCTTGCAATTTATGAAAATTTCAAAACTTTCATAATTCAGATAAAACAAATCAGAAGAAGCAGATAAGAAATATTTACATAATCAAACAAACATTTGAACTGGAGGAATTAATTCTTCAGTGAGTAAGTAACTTCTAAATTTGAAATGTTAGATTTTTTGCTAATTTTGTATATGGGTCTCCAGTAGTATTGCATTTTTTTTAAACTAAAGGACAGTGTTGCACAGTATGACAGACTGCTATTGATTTCACTGTAGCTTGGTATCTGACTCTGTGGCAGAATCCCAAACTGAAGCACCCTTCAGGGATCCTTTTCCCAGCAAAGTCCTTCAGAGAGCCTCAGTGAAGTGAGACAGAGGGAGTTTGCCCCTTAGAAGAAGAGAAGAGATTGGATTTATACCCCACCCTTCACCCAGAGTCTCAGAGCGGCTTACAAACTCCTTTCCCTTCCCCTCCCCACAACAGACACCCTGTAAGGTAGGTGGGGTTGAGAGAGTCCTTGAGAGAACAGCTCTGACAGAACTATGGCTTGCCCAAGGTCATCCAGCAGGTGCAAGTGGAGGAGTGGGGAATCAAACCCGGTTCTTCCAGATTAGAGTCAGCACACTTAACCACTACACCAAACTGGCTTTACCCAGCTCCCTCTTCCCTCTCAGTTTGCTCCTTCCACACACTCTGCAGGAGGGGTCATGCTGTTCCTCCCTGACTCTTCTACAGCTCTCATCTAAAACGTTTTCCCCGGGGACCATCAGTCTCAGGCTCCACAATTTCCTTCCTCACCCGGCAGGTCCTCCTGTCTGTCCAAACCCAAAGCTAATGGGAGGGCAGTCATGGGTTCCTCCCCCTAGTCCCCACCATGTTGGGAACTCCAAGGGCTTCCGCTGTAGGGCCGGGCAGCTCTAGAGAGGGCAGAGTCTTCCCGGCGATTTCCCATCCCTCCCTCCTTTGCACTGTGCCCAGGATGTTTGGGGGCCGACTCGCCAGCCTCAGTGCCTTCCGCCCAGGTCCTGCCATCCTATGCAGCTTCCCACAGGCTGCCGCTATTGCCAGTGGTTGGCTTTTGCACCTTGCTGCTCCTGGCTGCCCAGATGGTTGCTGCGCCATGTCCTGTTGCTGCGCCACATCCTTCCCAGGCTGCCCTTGTTGTTTGCCATTGGCTGGGTCAGTGGGGAAAGCTCAGCATGGCCCTCAAGAGAAGGTAAGTGTGTGGGGGGGGGACTGCCACACCCAAACACTTGGTTCAATAAAAAGTATGGTCTTACCTGAGAATTATTTTTTACAAAACATGAATATGCTTTTTGTATCAGCAGACTGAAATATTTAAATGCAAGAAAAATCTTACTAACATCTAAAACTTACCAATGAATATTTGATGAAGCTGCTTTGATGTCAAAGTTAAACTACAGTCTTCATGCTCTTGTGGTGAAGATGGTACAGCACTAAGGCCATCACTAACCTATTAAAATGCCGAACAGAATAACCACATGTTAACATATTATTACATAGCCTATTAACTATCTACAGAAGATGGGTAAGCACGTAAAGAGAGATAGACACAGGACTGTAAGAGAAAACAGCTTCCAGGAAAAAATTAACCTTGCCTTTTAGAATCAAGAAACAGCACAAGCCAACTCTCCTTGCATATAAGACCTCCATTAAACATATTCTTTCACCTCTCCTTATATTCCTTTCACTGTGATTTTCAGTTCTGTTAACCCTGCTGTTTGCTCCCTTGCCTTGCGCTTCTCTCTTTGTGTTCCTACAAGACTTTCCTGACCTTATTCATTAATACAACTTCCTTTTATTCTTCTAGGAAAGCATAATTGTCCCACGGCTATTTTCTTTTGGACCCAGCAAACTAGGAATTCTGTGCTATCTGCTACCACTTAATCCTTCTCTTCCTCATCCTTTCTACATCCTCAGTATCCCCCCCCCAGCTTCATTTCTGTCCCATCACTATTATTTAGAACAAGGGTCCCCAACCTTTTTGAGACTGCATGCAGCATTGCAATTTTGAGGCACGGATACAGGCACCACTACAAAATGGATGCCACTGGAGGTAGAGCCAAGTGCACATACACAAGAGGAAGGTGGATGGGGAATATAAACACACACATGGGGACATAGAAGAAGACCAGCAGGGGATAATGCACAGAAAGGAGATGACCAATGGAGAAAATGGAAGATAAACCACACAGAGCAAAGAAAGCCAAAGCAGAATACCAAACACACTCAGAAAAGACAACTCACAAACACAGAGAGAAAAGGAGGGAAGATAAATAAACATAAACCCAAGACTACCAAGGAGGGAAAGGGAGAGATAAACATACAAAGCTGATCTGCCTTCACAGTGACCCCACCCACTATCCTGAAGCATATGATAGATATTTGGGGAAGTTCCTGCAGCCACCAGGGCACCTTCGGACACCATGCTGGGAAACCCTGATTTAGACTGCAAGTCCAATGGCAGTACTGTGTCATCTCTAAATTTTATAGCCTGCCACTAGCACCCAATGCAGTCTAATTAAAATAATGTGAGACATTTATGGTAGGAATGTGTGGGTGCCATTATACAAGAGGGTTAATTCAAGCTGCAACTGCTCCAAAGATCAACAAGTATGGTGGTTGCAAAAAATGAAAACCTATCTTTTGTGTGAAAGTCAAGAGAGTTGTTATCTTAGAACTTGTTCAGATGGTACTCAGGGTGTGTTCTCAAACACCCCACCCCCCAAAAAAATTATGGATTCAGAAGTAGAAAATTGAGATATCACTGCCACAGAAACACTACCTAAAGCTGTCTAATCACACACAACAAAAGGTGACTGCAACACATTAATTACACAAAGGATTTTTTTTATCTTGAAAAGACTTTTAAAAAGGAGACCACAAACCTAACATAGCAGTACTCTTACAGTACAATTCTGTGTAGTTAGAGCCAAACTACACATTACATCTAACACATGAATGCCACAGAGACTTGCAGCAGAACTCCAGCTGTGATTCCCCCACGGGAACTCAATTTAGAAGCACTACAGAGACTTAAGCCTGGTCAAGAATCTGGGAGAGGTTTCTACCTTCCCACCATGCTATTTCCCCAATTCAAAATGGCCTGGGAGTAGGGCTGCCAAGTGGGGGCGGGTAAACCCCAGCTTTGAAGGCCCGATTTCTGCCGCCGGGGAATCAGGCCCCGGGGGGAACTACGCCCCCCGAAGCGCAGCGTGGCTGCGTCACCAGAGGTGACGCAACCACATCGATCACGTTGGGGGCATGGCCCCAATCGTCGGAGAGAAAACTCTATGGTTTTCCCTCCGACGATCGGGGCCACGCCCTCAACGTGATCGACGTTGCGCATCACTTCCGGTGATGTGCTGGCGGCGCACGCGCGCACAACGAGGGACAGCTCCCGGAGCGCGGCGAGGCTCCCCCGCCGGTGAGTAAAATTCACTTGGCAACCCTACCCACCAAACTGGCTCTCCTACACCAAACTGGCTCCAGAATTGTACAAATAACTCCCCACAGGGCTGCTGTCATTCAGGAAAAGGCATGGGGGAAAGAAAGAGCCCCTCTCCCCCCCACACACACTGCTGTCCTAAGTCAAATTGGGCTTCTGTAGGCTTTAAAATGGATGTTTGCCACAACTGCTATGTGCCTGTGGGAAAAGTGAGTTAGGTCTGCTAAAATCCATACCATGTACTTCAGAAAGAACATACAGAGGTGATTTCTAGAAGCAAGCTATTATATTTAACAGTTCAGTAATCTAACTTACCTCTTTGCCCATAGATTTAGATTCTATTTCTGCTAGCTTTTGACTAGTTAACAAGCCATTTCCATTTCCTAAATCAGCATCTTCCTCCAATTTATCTTGCCATAAAGCTTTTAACTGTGGTGATTTTAACCCTGATGCTGGCTTTAACCCTAGATCGACAGAATTCAGTTTTTCAATGATCCTGAAAGGAAGGAAAATGGACAGGGAATTAGGATGCGCACAGTTTGATGGAAAAGGAGATTATACTTGTATACATTATTTAGGGACAAGTGTTGTAGACTATTTTGTTGCTTCTGCTGACTTACTCAGAAGAGTGGAATCCCTGGAAATGAAGGATTATTTGGGGGGTGATTATTATCCTATACAATTATTATTATGTCTTGATGTTTACAGTCTCTCATCGAAGGTAAAGAACTTAGCACTAACCCAAACATGACTGAGGTGGTGTGAAGCCATTAAAGCAAAAGCGAAAACACAAATGGACTCGATAAAAACAACAAGTTCCCAAATAATTGAGAAAATGGGTAATATGGACTTTTTAATGGATTTAATTTCAAGCCTTCCTTGGTGACAGTCAAGCCTAGGGGACAGGGAACAACCAACAGAAATAATTGGTACAACTCTGACTGTAAGGCTCTCAAAAGATCAATCAGGTGCCTGTAAGTGTTCAAATTCATTTGTTTGAGCAATCTCTGACTCCAGAATTTAAAACTGTCAGAAGTTCCTGTTTGAAATCCTTTATCTGAAATGGTGCACAAAGGATTCCCAGCCTTCATGCTGGTAACATGAGCAGGAGTTGGGAGAAATTATTTGAGAGCCTGAATGCTGCACAGTGCTGAACTCAAGCTACAAAAGTTTCCAGAATTACTTTACTCTTGATAAGTTTTAGTTCTTTATATTTTAATTGTGATTTTAGTGGATGTGCATTTGTTATTGTTAATTTGTAAGCCACTTCATTCTGAGAAGAAGCAGGGTAAAAATAAATGTTGCGTGAACAACAGTGAACTCTAACTCACTTGTGAGATTTTCAATTTACAGCAATATCACCCTAAATGAGATATTACAAAAGTACTGACCCCGGAAAATTGAAAACCAGGTAGTATAACCATCAACAACTATTTTTTTATTCTTTATGAAAGATAAGAGGTTATGAAAGTGTTTGTCAGCTGATGTGGTTAATTGAATGGACTTCTTCTTTCTCATTTTATTAAGCTTTGGTGGTAGAAAGTGCCATCAAGTCACAGCTGACTTACGGAGACCCCATAGGGTTTTCAAGGCAAGACACATTCAGAGGTGGTTTGCCATTGCCTGCCTCCGCATCAAGACTCTCATATTCCTTGGAGGTCTCCCATCCAAATACTAGCCAGGGCCAATGTTGTGTACCCAGGGAAGTTGGGTCAACATGTGGTCAGGCAAAGGGCCCGAGCTTCGTCTCCAAAGACAATAGCTAGAACGGATCCTAGCGCATCCACTAGGCACATCAGCTCCACACCCTTCCACCCTGCAACCAACTGCCAGGCAGAACGCATGGTCAGAACGACGAAAGAGGCGCTGTGCCGCATGGACCGGGGCAACCAGGACTACCAGCTGGCAGCTTTCCTGTTTGGCCAGCGCACCATCCCTCATTCCACCACTGGCCGCCGCCTGATGACCCATTTGGACCGCCTCCATCCAGACCAAGCATTGAATCACAGCGCTCGCCCGGAAGACCAGGGGGCCCTGAGGGATTTCTTTCCTGAAGACCCAGTCTACGCCCGTAATTATGGCCGGGATCCCACCTGGGTTCCAGCGAGAGTGATTTGGGTGACCGGCCCACTGTCATATGAAGTTGCCTGTGAGGATGGACAGCTATGGAGGTGACACATAGATCAACTCTGCCGCCACATCCTGCCTCTGGCCTCAGACAGCCCAGATGAGGACGACATCTACCCCAGGGAACTGGAAGCAATGGACCCTCCACTTCCAGTGGCCAGTGCGACTCCTGGGGGAGAGGATGGAGGCAACCCCGAACCAACGATCTTCCCAGAGCCCAGCAGCTCGACAGCCCCGGCTGCAATACCAACAGCTACAATCCCACCCCTGGAGTCAACGGGAACAGTGCCAGGGAGCCCTGCTCTGGCTCCAGTCATCCGCCGCTCCATGAGGGAGCATAAAAGGCCCGCATACTTAAAGGACTATGTATGTTCGGGTCATCTGGACCACGGGGGAGGGGTGTAGTGTACCCAGGGAAGTCCGCACACGTAGTCGGGTCAACATGTGGTCAGGCAAAGGGCCCAAGCTTTGTCTCCAAAGACAATAGCTAGAACAGATCCTAGCACACACCTATCGGGAGGCTAGGATCCTAGAAGGGACCTATGGGTCTAGGGGTGCACTGTAAATACCCTATCACGGGTGGTTGTGGTTGTGTGTGTGTGTGTGGTGCGTGATTTGGGAATATAAGCCGGCCTGTGAGCCGGCTAAAACATCTCACGATCTGAATGTAACCTAATAAGGTATGAGCTGTAATCACTCTTCAATGCATCAGCCTCAGTACTTTATAGCCAACCTGGCTTAGTTTCCAAGATCTGAGGAAATCAGGCTAGGCTGGGCCATCCAGGTTAGGGCTTATGAAGCTTTAAAGCTTTAGAAATGCCTAATTTGGACTGTCATGATTTTTTCAGCATAAAATGATTAAGAAGCCATTGCAGCAGAGGGATGTATAAATCAACTGTACAACTAATATGTGAGAACTGTTTTTTTTAAAGCCAAACAAACAAACATGTTGCAACAGAATCTAAATCCCTACATGTTGTTCACAAAGATTTTTTTTAACTCAACTCCATTCAAGTGCATAGGATTACTCTGCATATTTAAATTACATATTAGCCAAGCTAAGATTTGTAGCACTCACTAAATGGCATAAAAATAACAAATGAAACTATAGTGTTATAAATCTATAAAATGCTTGAACGTTACAGCAATTTTGACAAGTTAGTTGGAAGCAAAAACTTTACCTAGCACCTTCTTTATTTAAACGACGGTTCCTTAAACTGTGGATGTAGTCTGCATAGTAATCTTTATTCACTTGCTTTTCCAGTTCTTCATATGCTGTGTATGAGTACTCTGGATCCACATAATTGTATCTGGCAACCTTTGTGAAAATAGTCCTAAATATTTAAACAGAGGTGCAGCTTCATTAGATGTATGAGTGATGCTTTTGTTAGAAGTGTATTTTATTTATTATTGCAATTATTCTACTAATCGTAACTAGCATTTGACCATGTAAATACAACCATTATAAAGAAGTTATTATTTGATTTTAAAATAAAATATTATTTTATTGGCAAAATATCTTCTTTCTCCAAAAGTAAAAAAATAATTTGCAACTGAATGCACATTTACGACATATCTGAATTCATGTTGAAAAAATATTACAAGCATTAGATAAAATATTTAACAATAATATAGACAGAGGGGTTTTTTACTTGTTTGCTATTACCTGTAATTGTTATGTCGTTCACTGGGCCTTAGACTAGCTGGAAGATCATTAGGAAGAGCTATCAGTGCATCATCCAAATTTCTGTTTAGAACATGATCATGAATTTGTGTTTGATCAGATTTAAGCAGCGCCATTGGTGTTACATAACTGTACAGATCCTCCTTGTTGGATAAAAGTACTCCTATTGCAATGGAAATCAATGATGTTATACCTTGATTAGAATTTAAATATAATACAGTGAATTTGATCCAGCAATCCACAGAAACAACTCTCACAGATTTTCCCCATATTCTCTTCCCCCTAGCAGTGCTTTCAGACCCTGGTTAAGTTGACTCCCACTGTTGAGGGACCCACACAGACTAACAGCCATGTGGGTCAGAAGAAATGCAGTGAGGAAGAAATTGTCCTCAGTTCCAGTAGTGCATCTCTGCTTACAGAAGAGGAAGCAGATGGCAATTTTTCCCCTTCCCTAATTCAAGTCCTAAACCTCATAGCTATTCATTCATTTCGTCCCAGAAAACCCGGGAATAAACTTTCCTGGGGTCAGAACGGATTGCCAGGGAAAGGAGAATGCAGGAACAATCCACAACCATCAGGATTTTCCACTCAGGGGTCTCTGGGTCCACAGAGTTCTCAAATACAAATGATTACCAATCATCTCCTGAAATTGCAGAATTCTTGATTCCTTATCAAAATGACCTTTCTAAAAGCAGAAAATGTTATTCTCACACTTGCTTTACCAGTATGTGTGTATGTGCATGTGTAAAGGTAAAGGTAAAGGTTCCCTTGCTCGAAAGCCAGTCGAATCCGACTCTAGGGTTGCGGTGCTCATCTCCGTTTCAAAGCCGAAGAGCCAGCGCTGTCCGAAGACGTTTCCGTGGTCATGTGGCCGGCATGACTAAACACCAAGGAGCACGGAACGCTGTTACCTTCCCACCAAAGTGGTACCTATTTATCTACTTGCAATTTCTTGCTTTCGAACTGCTAGGTTGGCAGGAATATGCATGTGTACACATACACATACCCTGAGGAAATGCAAAGCAGTTAGAATTCAGGTGTGATGATGATACCAATGAGATCAGAAACTCTACAAATTCATGGTCCAGATTATTATGCAACTCATTATTATTACAATAAGAACTCATTATATCTTAATTTGCATTTGTTTATATACTTTTTTTTATTCCAGCATTCCTTCAGCAGGCTCAGGACAACATACATGTTTCTCCCTCTATTTTATCCTCAAAACAGCTCTGTGAAATAGGTTAGGCTTCAGTAGATTGACTGGCCTAAAGTCACACAGTGAGTCTTATGGTAGAGAAGGGGATTTCAACCTGGATCTCCATGTTCCCAGTCTAGCACTCTAACTATTACATCATTCTTTTATAAAAATATAATCAATTTCTAACTCTGAACTTGGGTGTCCAATGCCACTAACAACAACACATTTAAAAACATCAAAATTATAACTAAATTATCTCATAAAACTGTTGTAAAATACACATTACATAACAACTTCACTAGAAATTATTAGAACCATGATAAAGATATCCATTGACCCCAAGCCTACTTGGGACGGCAACTTTTATTCACCTTTTAAAAATATGCCCTAGTTTTCCAGGATAGAGAAGACTATCCTTTGCTGCCAAGGTTCCTGGTGGAATTCAAAAATGTTCACAGAAACATTAAATATCCAAACTGGAACCTCTCCCTTTCTTGCAGGAATGGTTAAAACTCTCCCTGAAGCTGCATAAACCAGCAGTTTACGTTTTATGGATAGACCAAGATGCTCTGTCTTCCTCTAGTCTGTTTGAGCACAAACCGCAGGATGGTGGAATAACAATAAAATGTTACCAAGCAGCAACCTGCAGTCCCTTTCCAATGTTTGTCTGAACTTTCCCAGAATTGTAAGAATTTATTTTAAACTCATTAGAATGTCAACCTCTATTTCTTAACAACATACCAAGATTAGTTTTCAACATGACTTTATTTGTTACAGACTTGCAAGTGCCAGAAAACTTTAAGTGTATTTGATGAAAAGAACTTGTCACCAACTCCGGTAAACAATCTTTCTTTGTCACTGGACCAATGATATCTACCACCTGCTTCACTTTAAAGCTTCCTATATGACGTGGAAGAAACGAAAACAGTACATCCTAAAGACAAGAAACAAACATGTAAACATTAATGCATTCCAAGAAAGAAACTGAAAGTTACTTTTTTAAAATCACACTTGCTTTTGTTTCTTTAAAGCTTCAGTATTTAAAAACCTGCTTACATATAAATGGCTTTTTTCTTGTGTTCTAGCAAGTGAAAATCTCTAATGTTACACAGCAAAATAAAATGATATATTCTCACCCTAACATTCAGCCTCACTAATTGCATAGTGCTCTATACAACAAAGAACTGCTACAATCCATTTCTGTCTGCATTCAATGGATAAACGGGAGGCAGAGAGACTATGTATTTTGTGCTATTAAAGCAGTAGAATAAGTTCAGATTTGATAAGAAAGTAAGTACTGAATGTATTTCAATTTTTACCAAAGTTTTCATTTTCTTCTTTGGGGGAGAGGGAATAGTTTTCGTTGGTGGTTTTTTCCCCCCAATGGGATAAAATTATTTAGAAATTTTATATCTTTATCCACTACACAATCAGTCCCATCCTGAGTACAGTGACACCTTTCTAAGTGCATTGAAGTCAATGAGATTAGAAGGGTGTAACTGTTTAAGATAGCACTGAATACTGCACAATGGAAAAATATTTTAAAAGTTATATAGTAGGTAGATAGAAACAAAAAAGATACAGTACCTGTGAAGATTTTGCTTTTACTTTTCCTTTTGCAGGACATATATTATAATGTGCAACCTTACGAAAAGCAAATGACACTGGAAGAATATCACACTCATTTTTGAGTGTGCAAATAATATCTGTATGTTCACCCATATAGCACTCCATAAAATTAATAGCTGGTCCTGGGCTGAATGTTAACATGACTGGGAGCCCTGAGCCTGTCAAAGCCAATTCAACTTTATGAAGAATGGTCTCTGGAAAAGATATGAAGTAAAAAGAATAAGCTATCATTTCCAGTGAAAGGGGTGACAGTGTGTTTGGACAGCAACCACTACAAAATGAATACTACAATAATACTTTCTAAATAAATAAATTTACAAAAGATTTTATTCACATAACACACCCCTTAACAAATAATACAGGATTAATGTAGATGATCACTTATACAAAGAGATACACACAAAGACACTCTCTTCTTCGCAAAAGCCTGAGGCTAGCAATGGTGCACTAGAAACACATACAAAATATCCAATTATAAGCAGATTTAAAGTTTAAAAAATATATTAGCATAAAAATTCAGTCCAAGTAAGTAGGTACACAGTTTGCAAAAGATGCTTGGCTTAAACTTTTAAAAGTTTCCAGAGGAAAACAATTTCAGAGTTCTTGGATAGTCCCCAAGTGCTAGGTGGTAATCACTTGACAAATTCCCCAATTCCCCAAATCCTCAATAGAGATCTCTCATCAGTGCATGCTGGCACTGAATACTGGCATAAACTGCTGCAATCATTATAAAGCCATGATGACAAAGAAGGGTGATCAAATGGGCATGATTTGGCATGCAGGTACAGAATGTGAAGATACCCTGAAATTCCTACACAGTTACAGCCAGTGGCCTGCATTGTTGTTTGGGGAAATTAGCTATGTGGCAGGGGAGACCAGAGGGGTACAGGGACCGCATACCAATTGTATATCAAGGTCCGGTACAGTAGGAAGACTCCAAATTTGAAGAGTAAATTAAATAGATTTTTATTAAAGAGTTTCCCTAATTACAAGCACACTAAGCATTCAAAAAGAACAAGCAATTCAGAACTAAGAAAGCAGAGGTGATTGATCACTAATAGAGGGGTCAGTTATAAGTGATACGACCTGTTCAGACATGCAGATGTCCATGGAGATGGGATTGTGGCCCAAACAAAAGTTTGGGGGTGGACTGCCAGGTGGCATTAGGGCAGAGGCACCCCCTCCGAGGCCATGTGTGGGGACAGATACAGACATCAGAGAACAATGCTGACCAATGGTGAGTCCCAGTGGGTGTGGCTTCAGGAGGAGCCAGACCTAGGTGTGACCAATGTGACCAATGGGGCTCCAGAGGGGCACAGTCTGGATTCACAATAGCTCTGATGGGATTAGCCAAGTGTGGGGTGACTGTACAGGAGCTGGTTGAATTGATTTGATGCTCACTAATGGTTCTGTCAAGGTAGATTGAACAGGCTCCCAAGTTTACACAAAAGGTGGGAGACGGGTTCTTGATTAGCTAGACATTTTAATGTATGATTGGTTTATCTCGGTATCCTGAGGGAAGGAGCAGGAAAGACAGTTGTGAAGACAAAGGATTCTCACACAGACATAGGTGAAATTTCATGCCAATAAAGGTTTTGTGTGTGTGACATAGATGAATACAAAAGGGCTGGGTGAAGTTCTGGAGACGGAAGGGCTATATGCCAGGTGGTAACTGAATAGCCTTTAGAAATGCAGATACTTTAACTGGTGGGGGAGAAGATACTTTCTGGGTGGGGGAGAAGACTGGAGGTTTGGCTCTGAGGGCTGCCTTATGCCACCCTGAAAATGGAGGCCCTTTTCCAAGAGCTGTGGCTAGCTCTGTGTTTTAGGCCAGGAGTGCCCTCCCTGGCCTGAGTTTGTGGGCTTCTGGTTCAGGTTAAGAAGTGGGGCACCCCTGCTATTGGGGCTACCCTAAAGTAAGGCAGCGCCTCTGGGCTACAACACGTACAATGCTTTCATATTTCAGCAGCATCAGAAAAACTGTCATTCCAATACACAGTTAGAAGCATCCAGGGCTCCTAGCACTCCACTCAATCTGCCATATTGTGCATTAGCTACAGTTTCCAAACAATCTCAAAGGCAGCCCAACACAGACATCATAGTAGTGCAGCCTCAAATCTACACTGTAATAATATTGTTATTTTATGTTTTAAAAATGCATATCCCATCTTTCTGCCTTTACAAGAGCCACCAAGGAGGCTAACAATTTAAAACATGCATGATAAAATATATTATAAAACCATTAAAATAAAACCCTCTCCCAAACACATCTTGTTAAAACAACTGTAAAAAAATTTAAAAACAGAGTTAAAATACATATAAAACAGAGTTAAAATACCTACAAAACATAAAACATTGGTCAGGAAGGAGGAACTATTGAGGGAATGCCAGACAAAACAAAAAAGTCTTCACCTGCTGGTGGAAGATGGCCAAATCAAGTGACGCTCCTCCGTTTGTAGCTTTATCGAAGCGCTCTGGCAAACTCAAAAGAGAGTTCCAGAGCTTTGGTGCTATGACCAAGAAGGCTCTCTCCCAGGTTGCCACACACCTAATCTCAGAAGCCATAGCCATCATTAGGTCCAAATCTGATTAAAAACAGTCACATGGAATTAAAAGACTCTCCTATACCTATGCAACTTGAGACTTCCAAGTACAGTGGTGAATCTAAAACCACCTCAAGACTGAAAACCTGAATGGCCAGGAAAAGCCAAATATGATCAGCTGCAGGCATACATTCACCACGATCATAAAATGTAACAGTTGTAATAGTTTTTTCCCCAAAGTATAAAAGTGTCTTCTACAAGTGGAACTTGAGGTTTCTTCTTTGTTTGGACTGGCATATACAGTCCAAACAAGTTACTTTATATATATAATATATATATATTAGAATATACATGAAAGAAACCTCATAAACTGCAATAACCACAGGAGTAAACTATATGTACATTTTTTGGCACAGCTACTAAGTATTTGCAGCTACATCAACCAGCCTTCATGTTACAGTCAAAAATGGCCATTTTCCTATTAATTTAGGTAGTCATCAATCAGTATATCTAATTCTCAACATAATCCCCTCAATGGATACTTAAATCCACAGGCTAAGACCATAGAGAGGCAAGGGAGATCTTTTTACAAAGCCTGGGAGAACCCCTGGTTTTCTGAAACTTAATAAAAGTTAGAAAAAATGGAGGAAGGAAACAGAGAGTTTTCTGCAAAAACGCCCACCACAGGATATGGAGAAGGATGATCCGCCACCACAGTATAAACCAAATACATGGGGGAAGCAGAAGTGCCACAGGTGGACAGGGGAGAGAGTAGGAATTATCACTGCTGCTGCTACTCCAACCCTCACTATCCAGAATAGCAGGAAGGAGCAAGTAAAGTTACAATGAGATGACAAGGCAAGCTGGGAGTGGGCAAAGTGGTTGGAGAACAGGTGGCAGAGCGGGCAGAGCAGCAGAGAGGGGGAGCAGGTGGGGCCACAGAGCTGTGGGGAGAGTGGCAGAAGACAGAGTGATGGGAGATGTAGGCAAAATCCCCCCCCATGAGTTTCTCGCAGGTCCCTGCAGTGGTGGAGGAGTAGAAGTCCAAATGTTAGCAGACTAAGGAGCTGGATTGAGCTATTGAGGATGAAGGGGAGGGGAGGATGGGGTCCCCCCATGAATCTTGCAGGTTCCTGCTTATACAGATTACATTTCTGAGTTTCTATAAAGTACATTATAATCTTCTTTAAAAGTTTATTCTCCCTATAAAACATGCAGTAAAAAGTTTAGTTTAGATTTTTTACATATGTTGCATATTTATCAGTACTATACCTCTGGTGGGTTTTTCATCCACAGACAGCCTTTCCAAAAAGTCATCCGTACTTCCTACAGCTTCAAATGTCAGAAACAGAGCATAATCTTGTCTTGATGGAGTTCTATCATGTTTAACATTCCTTCTCAACTGTCTGTGAAATTCACAATCACATTTTTATTCATAGTTTTACTGTATTTTAACTTTTAATGTAAGCCACCCTGAGCCTGCTTCGGCGGGAAGGGCAGGATAAAAATTGAAATAAATAAACAGAAAGTTTATAAAGAAATAAACACCACCATATTTATAGTACCATAGATAGTTGCTAAATGAATAATTCCTGAATCAGAATTTAAAACCAGATTTAATTGCATTAAACAACTACCATAAATGGTCATTATCCTTACCTTGTCACAAACTACACGATTTCAATTTGGTGGCCTCTTACCAGGGTTGCCAGCACTGCACTGGCTACCCACGAGAGAACATAAGAACGTGAGAGAAGCCAATGTTGGATCAGGCCAATGGCCCTTCCAGTCCAACACTCTGTCACACAGTGCCCAAAAATACCAGGTGCCATCAGGAGGTCCACCAGTGGGGCCAGGACACTAGAAGCCCTCCCAATGTTGCCCCCCCAGGCACCAAAAATACAGTGCATCACTTGCCCCAGAATGAGAGTTCCTATCTATACCTTGTGGCTAATAGCCACTGATGGATCTCTGCTCCATATGTTTATCTAATTCCCTCTTGAAGCTGTCCATGCTTACAGCTGCCACCAACTCCTGTGGCAGTTAATTCCATGTGTTAATCACACTTTGGGTAAAGAAGTACTTCCTTTTATCTGTTCCAACCCGACTGCTCAGCAATTTCACTGAGTGCCCACGAGTTTTTGTATTGTGAGAAAGGGAGAAAAGTACCTCTTTCTCTACCTGCTCTATCCCATGCATAATCTTATAAACCTCGATCATGTCACCCCCTCAGCCGTCATTTCTCCAAGCTAACGAGCCCCAAGTGCTTTAACCTTTCTTCATAGGGAAAGTGTTCCAACCCCTTTATCATTCTAATTGCCCTTTTTTGCACTTGGCTACATTGAACCCCATTTGCCTCATTGATGCCCATTCGCCCATCCTTGACAGATCCCTTTGGAGTGCCTCACAATCCTCCCTGGTTCTCACCACCTTGAACAACTTCGTGTCATCTGCAAATTGAGCCACTTCACTGCTTACTCCCAACTCCAAATCATTAATAAACAAGTTAAAAAGCATCGTACCGAGTACCAATCCCTGTGGTACCCCATTGCTTACCATCCTCCACTTAGAAAATTGCCCACTTATACTCAGTCTCTGTTTCCTATTAACCAGCCAGTTCTTGATCCATAAAAGACCTTATCCTTTTATCCCGTGACTATTGAGCTTACTTAGGAGCCTTAGATGAGGAACGTTATCAAAAGCTTTCTGGAAGTCAAGGTAAACAATATCTATTGGGTCTCCCTTGTCCACATGGGACCCAATAGATCCCATTGTGCTTATGATTCAAGCACAAAAGAGTATATATCGAAGCCATTTTGTACTTAAATTCACAGTACATACTTACTTTGGACTAAAACAAAGAGTAACTACAATTTTCTGGTAAGGCTCTAGTTTTCCTTCATTGGGAATACATGAAATCATAGTGGAAACATCTACTTCTGCTTTATTTTCACTGTAATTTAAGTCTTGCAAAGCAGCATATGTACTCTTCTGAATGTCTGTGCCCTGCAAGACAATGCAAGATTTAGATTTTAAGAATTATTACTCACTCCCAAGACATAAACTCTTAGAGAGTTGTAAGTGCTTGTAAATAGGAATGGGCACAAACCTTGTCACGAACTTAAATTTATGAAAAAAATTGCCCAGGTCATGGTTCGCAAACTGTGGTTTGTGCCTTTCTTTATCCATGACACTTCCACAATTCTCCACGTGTTTTTCGGAGGTTTGTGGGACTTGTGGTGGGGAGGAGCGAGAGGGATTGCTGAAATGGCTTGCATCTTGCTTGCACACAGGGGCCAATACAAGTGACCTGACGTGTTTCCACCCTATTGGGGGCCTTCTTCAGAAGTCAAACAATTTGAGGTACATGGTACAATATTACATATTACAATAAAATAACCAATAAGTTAATACTTGACCAAAATATTTGTTTGAGGATGCTCTAGCTCTAAGATAGTCACATAGGTGCTTTCTGGACCAGAATTGGAAGATGTTCTAATTCAGCAGCTGTGCATTTGGCACCAGACACATGACTCATCTTTAAAGGCCTCATATACACCCTTGCCTTGTGTCTATTGATCTTGCTGCTTAACTTTCCTTTTCCTTTGATGCTGAACCTGCTCAAGACCTGTAGGCACATGTGCCTACTTACTGTGCAGCATCAAGTTTTCTTGTGTCCTGCACAGGAGACAGGGGAAAAGAGGAATGCCACCTACACTTTTATTGCATACTTGGTGGAACAGAAGAGTGCAGAGCAGGATGTTATCGCCTCCACAATGATCATCCTGCATGGGAAGAGTAGATCATCTAAGGCTGACCCTCTCCCTAATGGTGAGCATCCTCAAGGCCTCCTGGGACACCACTGACATCAGGCCACTCTCCAGAACATCAAAAGGGCTTCATAGAGAACCCACTATACTACTTTATGTCATTATTTGTCAGTGTAATACAGTTTTATTGCACTATATTGTATTTATCATGCTGGTCTTTGTTGTATTTTTTAGTAATTCTGTAAGTCACCCCATGCCACAATGAAAAAAGTGGATGACAAATGAAGTAAATAAATAATAATGTTTAATCCTAGAGGGACCAGTATTTGAGAATAGGAACAGGATTTGACTCCTACCCCTATGTCATAAAGACAACCAGCCAAACCCAGATTTTGTTGGACAATCTATAGTTTACAGGTTTTTATAGAGTTGGGTATGGGTTTTCATATCCAACTTGTGTTCTCCGCAATTGGGGGGAAGTGCCTTTTCTTGCATGAAAACCACACCTGGGGAGGGGAGTTACTTTGCCGGATATGCTGCTCCACATGGAGTGTCTGCACATGCTCAGCAGCAAAATCAGTGAAATAACTCACACACACACACACACACACGAAAACTGCTCAGGGGAGGAGAAAGGTTCCCTTCCTCCCCCTGTGGCACCATTACAAATCTGTTTGGGCTCTCCTCTTTTGGGGGGGAAGCTGATCCCTGCAACTGCTATATGGCTGCCCAACACTGGGTTCCCCAAACTGTAACATATCATTTGGCTTTGTGCCTTGCCCTCACTAGAGTGTGATAAAGTGCTGGGTACTGGCTTTTATAATACAGATGGCAATGACACAGAAAGTTATGGAAAACTTTTCTCCTCTCTTAGACTAGCACTAAATTTTACACACATGCAAAAGTGAAAGACTTCTGAGAAACTCATACTTTACAAAGAGAAATTAAAGCTAATACATCTTTCCTTACCATCTCTCCCCCAACAGCATTATCTTGCAGGATTGCCACCCAGCCCATGGGTTCTGGGCTTTTATTGTGAAGAATTACTTCTTCAGTCTTGGAGGTTCCAAAATAGACACATCCAAAATGAACATGTTTTATTGTGTCCGAGTGAAGCACACCCAATAGTTCGATAATTTGCTCCACTATATTGGCTTTTATTGTTATGTGAGCATTGGATCTTCCCTGCAACTCCACACTATTGGTAAGAGCCATGAGTAAAAAGAAAGAAAAGAGAAAAATACGCAGATAAGATCAGTGTCACAATAATCTTACTGATCAAGATTTTATTATGGCATTTGAAATAATACACACATAAGACACTTACGAAAGCAGCCCAGCCCCAGCATTCAACAGCCGGGATGAAATATATTATTAGTACAGCAAACAGGTATATCAGAAATACGTTACACATATTTTCACCTTTAGAGCTTGTAGCAAATAGTGGCTTCAGTGTCACATGCCAATTTGAGCATAATAAAGCATCCTTATTCCCTCATCTCAGTTTTCCCAAATCAAGCAGCAAGCCAGGTGTATCTAATTCATTAAGTATTACAACACCAAAGAAACTGATAGCTGTGATTATTTCATTCCTATTCGCCTAACTAAAAAGGCAACTGAGCTATACAGAAAGTTTTGTCTTCTCTACCTTTTCTGGCACAGATTACAATTAGGGTACAATATTGCCATATGCCTTATATTCAAGTACAGTAAAAGAGGAGATCTGAATTCCGCAGAACCAGTGAGGTCTGAATCCCATAGAAACACAGTGAGGTACACAAATAACGTATGCTATACACAGGAGTTATCATCAACATAAAAACATAAAAACAAAGGGCAATACAAACAAAAGGATTCAATTTGTAAACATTTGCACTTACACAGCTGTTTGATTAATGATCCTCGGGATATCAGCACACATCTCCATTTTAACCACTTGGAATGTTTTGGATTCTACCACTCCACTGGTTGGTGATATAACAATGTGAACACTTCCTCTGTAGTTTATGTTAAATGCACCTAAAATATACAAACATATTATGTATTGCACATAAAATTACGGGAAAGATTCAAAACCTCACTCCATTACAGGCAGTCTTGACTTCTTAATAGGGGCCCACAGACAAGATAATAAGACCAGAAGAATGCATAGGATCCTTGCAGTTCCGGCACTTTAAATAGATGGTTTCTAATTGAAAGGACAATCAGTGAAAATATGGCAGAGAACTCAGACACTACATAAAGTGGACTATATAAGAAAGTGAGCCAAATCACAGACTACAGACCAAGTGAATCCCAAAGCAGCTCAGTCAAGAAAATGAGCAAACCACAGACTACAGACCAAGTGAATCCCTGGAAAGACTTCAAAAACTATGCAAAGCAGCTCAGTCAAGAAAATGAGCAAACAAAGTCATAGACCATAGGTCAAATCACAATGTTCATTACATGGTCAACGAATTAGGACTACAGAAAACATTCACCCGAGGCATACTGAAGTCCCCTTCCTCATACTCACGTTATCTCACACCAACTGTCATTGTGCCATTAAAGTGGGGGGAAAATAGAGGTGGTTCAAGAATTTAAAAGGCCCTGGGGGAAAAGTACCCCTCCCATGCTCCTGATCAAATTGAAGAGCAAAGCTTAGCGAAAAAAAGGGCACAGAACTGTACAGTACAGTGCCTGATACTGACCAGGCTTTTGTCTTCTATTTCCCTTCCATATATACTTTTTAGCCTTCTCCACCTCCCCATTTTTTTCACTAGACTGGCTGCTGCTGGTCTTCTCTAAATATCCAGGTCTACTTAATTATTTACTGAAATGACATCCAGGATGTGCCTGGAAGGTGGCCACATACCAAGGGTAGTCTGTAACCGGATAACATAAGCATAGCCAGTTCAATGCCCAAGCAAGACAAGCAGTTGCATCAAAGTGGGGGGGTGACAACTGGCAAGGCTTGTGTTAGTCATCACCTCTCAGACCCATGCCACTGCTACAAGGCTCCAAAATGGACTGTAGAGCACCATGAACAAACACGTACCTCCTCTACCTGGGCTGCCACCAGGCTCCAAGACTAGGCTCTCATGAGGGTGAAAGAGGAATGCACCCCTCCATTTGTGCCACCTGTCAGGTTCCAAGACTTGGAGCTTGCAGGAACAGCACAGCAAGTGACAGGGAAATGACAGGTTTTAGCTGGGTTCAAAGAAGGGGTCCAAATCCCTACTAACAACTACAGTGGAAACTCTTTTCTCTATCAATTGATCAAAGAAAGCATCTAAGTTCAAGACACTGATTGATCAAGGAAAGCATCTAGGAAAGTTCAAGATGCTGACACTGTTATATTGTTCACCTTTGGTACTTATAGCAAGTTTTACATCCATGAGAAGGCAGTAACATATAGCCAGTCAATGCACGCCTACTCAACACTGCACAAACTCTAAACCAATAGAAAGGAATCTATAATTCCTTCTTAATATACTTTTAAGAATATGACTACCTTATCTATTGTATGCTACAAGTGCAACATGAACTGCTGACTACCATATTTTAAGAAAACAAGGTCTTTGTTATAGGTTAGTTTATCCTATGAATTAAGGAAAGCATACCTTTAGAGACTTCAATTACAAGCACAGATAACAGTTGTGGATCATCACTAGGTCAAACATTCCCCTCAATTCTTTACTTGGCCTTCACTGACACGGCTAAACTATGGCTCATTCACATTTCACCTTGCTTCCCCCTTCACAAGGCATGCACTCCTCCATGTGTGCAGCTGCTCCCAGGTTCCAAACTACAGGAATAAGGCACTTGGGGCAGCTCATTTGTTTGAGCTGGCCCTGAACTGGGTGAGAGGTGATGAAAAGCAGCTAAAGACGGAAAGGTAACATAATCCTTTCCCTATGCACCAGTGCTTAAAATCAGAACTTCCCAAGGGGACTATTACATATGTATACTTAAAAATACAGGAGTCTCAGCAACGTACCGTCAGAAGGCAGAACATGATCACAAAAATCTCCCTTACAACACAAAGCAATACAAATTGTTCTTCCAATTCCTCATGGCAGCAGGGTACCTGAGCTCTATAGCTCTTGCCTAACACAAACCCATCCCATCATTTTCTTACTGCACCGCACTGCGCTTCTAGTGGAAGCAATGCAGTGTTCAGTGCCAATCATCTGTACCATGGCCTGGTGGAGCTGGCCCCTTGATGTGGACATTGCTGGCCTAGGGCACTGCAGAAGGAAGTGTCTGGCAGGGACTTGCTTCCATTGTGTTGCCTGGAAAGCCAGGTTAAAGCAATTGCTGTGCTGTAGCATGCAATGGACAAGTCAATGGTACCTCCTGTGCTACTGTTCCTCCTCTAAAACTTCAACAGTCCAGCAGGCTTGTTGCAGATGAATTAAACGACCAGTCCACCCTCCAAAAAATTATGTTCCCTCCTCACCCCCCAACAAAAACTTGACTGCTACTTCTATTGCTCCCAGCTACTCCTGCTGCCTGGAACAATAGGGCAGGGTTCCCCAGCAATTTAGAGCCTATGGGCACCTTTGGAATTCTGAAACAGGGTGGTGGGCGCAACCAAAATATGGCTGTCATGGGAAGCAGAGCCATGCTCAGTTAAAGTCCAACATCAGGAGACAAGAAGGATATTTTTTTAAATATACTGGGAAAAAGCAGTGAGACAGAGAATAAATCACAATGGTGGAAGCTGCCACCAAAGCAATGTTATTTATTTATTTGATTCCTATTCCAGTCTGCCCCACTATCGTAGGTCTCAAAGTGGATCACATATAGTAAACAGTTAAAATACAATTAAAACACATAAATTTAACCAGTTCAAATATTTATAATGAATCAGATGGTATATAATAGTACTATCACTGTTCCAGGGGAAGAAATAAGGGGAAGAGGCAGGCAGAGGTGTATAAAAGAATTATCTTGACCTCACCAATTACTTGGCGGTACAACTCTGTTTTACAGGCCCTTCAGAAGCGAACCAGGTCCTGCAGGGCCCAGATCAAACTTGGACATGCATTCCACCAAGCTGGAGCTACTGCCAAAAAGGCTCTAGCTCTCATTGAAGCCAGGCAAATATTCTTTGGACGCGGGACCACCAGTGTGTTGTTACTGAAAGAGCATAGTGCTCATTATTTTAATCTGCATAGCCAATCAGATCTCCAAAAGCCTATCAAAAGCCATGATGGACAAGAGTCCCACCTGGCTCCTCCACCCATTTTCTAAGAACAGTTGGTGCGCAACAGGCAGGGGTAATTTCCTGCAGGAGCGCACAGGAGCGGAGCTCCGGCAGTAAGGAGCCCAGGGGGCGGGCACATGCAACAAGCCCCACCCCCTGCTCCCAGCAGCCCTCAGTCAGAGCAAGAAGCAGCCAGGTAAGTTGCAGAGCCCCCCCCCCCCGGTCCAAAACAGTCCAGTGGCACCTTTGAGACCAAGTTCTATTCAGGTACAAGTTCTCCCTCCTCTGCGAGGACAGATCTGCATGTTCTCCCCCAGTTATGCTAATGAGCTCCTAATAAGGTGTCTATGGGAGCCAATTTGGTGTAGTGGTTAAGTGTGCAGACTCTAATCTGGGAGAACCGGGTTTGATTCCCCACTCCTCCACTTGCACCTGCTGATGTGACCTTGGGTCAGTCACAAGCTCTGGCACAGCTGTCCTTGAAAAAGAGCAGTTTGTGTCAGAGTTCTCTCAGCCCCACCCACCTCACAGGGTGTCTGTTGTGGGGAGGGGGAGAGAAAGGAGTTTGTAAGCCGCTTTGAGACTCCAAGTGAAGGGCGGGGTATAAATCCAATCTCTTCTTCTTCTTCTACAGGCACCACATTGGGTATCCCTCCAGTAGGGGACCAACAAAACAGGCACCATTCATAGCCCCTGTGTACTTGCATCCACAAATGCACAATTTATAAATTAATGATGATGAAAAACTTGATGAGAAAACCAGGGGGGCTCTTGTCTGGCAATGTGAGGATCAGAAGCCACAAAACTAGCTAGTTCAGTAAATTTCCAGTGGATTGGAAATTTTAGTTTGAACAGTCATGCAACTATAGGCCTTTGAGACTGCTATGATTAATTCAGAATATAAGGTATTTTAAAATCCATCTATATACCTTGCTGGCAGAAAATTAAACTTGAAATAATTAAGTCCATAGAAAACATTTACCTGAAGATGATCCATGGTTAGTAATTTTAATCTCTTTACTGATTACTTTACCGTTTGCAGTCACTGTGCCAAAATTTATCTCAGGTTCAATTTCTAAGCAGCAACATGGAAATAATCTGCAAAAACAAATGCCTTTTTATTGGTTTTATGTCCAAGTTACTTTGTTGATTTTATTCTTTAAAATGTCTTAGAAAAAATGCTTTCCTTCCATTTTCAACAAGTGCATAATTTAATTATGCAACCTAATTTTCCAGCAACATCCACAGATGGAAGCAGCTTATTAAAATGTCACTGTGTTTTCTTAATTATGGTAACTTTAGGACAATTTAATCACATTGGATTAAATCATGTTGGATTGCAACTATATTTTGACTGGTTGAAACTTCTCTGTTGTATCAAAATACAATTCAACATAAAACAAACAAACCTCAACAATTTGTTTCACATGATAAAAAAATTTAAATAGTGCAGGCTCATGACGCCTGATATAAAAAAACATTGAGGGCAACTTAGTGGGGGCTTGAAACAACTAAGGCTAATCAGATTCAACAGGATTCCAGCAATTAACTGTACACTGAGTTTCACTGAGACATACAACACTATCCTTCACATGTTTCTTCAGAAAAAAGTTCAGTGGGATTTACTTCTATGCAAGTATAACGACTGGAACCCTAGGAATGAGCTCCATTGAACACAGTGTGACTTGCTTCCAAGCAAACATGCACAGGATTGGTCTGCACCAATGTTCCCTTTAATCTTTTTTTCCTGGTGAACGGAGCAGCTCACATCCTGAACAGCATATAAAAGCTGTAATCTTAAAATGGGCAATGAGCAGTGCAAGGCCCTGCGTGGCTCCAGAATCCTGCTGAGCAGGGCTTCCTGTGTTAATGAGCTCACATGCACAGCTTAGAGGGAACACTGGTCTGCACACCTGCAATCTTATGCACACTTAGTTGAAAGTAAGTCCCACAGAAAGTAGTGGGACTTACTTCTGTGTACACATGGATAAAATGAAATTAAAAGTCCGCTTTCTCTGGATTGTGCCCACTATAAGTAGCTGTGTACTGTGTGCTGTTTGTAACATGGCACTCCCAGACAACTGGTTGGCTACTGTGTGAAACAGGATGAAGGACTAGATGGACTGGTCTGATCCAGCTGGCTCTACTGTAGTTTGTTGCTTCATCTTTTTTGAAATACTGAACTAAACTAAAATAAAACCCTAGCAACAAAACGTCAAGAAAGCTTTAAGTTCCTTCACGTACTACTTTCATTTTTTGCTAATGGAATAACTAAACTAAACCAAAAAGGTTAAGATTAATCAGAAGCTGGTCTGCTTAAATAAAAATAAATACAATTAAATTCTGTGCTGGAAAAGTGCTTTCAGAATTCTGGCAAAAAACATTAATTCAGATAACAAAAGAACAATTTTCATGCCGTTTTTAAGAGATGGTAAGGCCCTCAACATAGTGAGCTTACCCCACCACCCCACCACTGTCAGGTTCCACAGCCAAACAAAGGAGTACACGCTTTCAGATGTGCAAAAGATGCTATTCTATTCTTTTTTTAAAAAATTGCCATGTCAAACAAAATACTGATTAACTTAAAGTGAAAATTATCCTTTATGGAGCAGAGTTTCTGAAAAGGTAACTTTCAAGAGCATTTGGAGTCACAAGCTGGGAACCTGCTTGCCATCTTTTGGGAATGCCGGTTTCAAAAATCCCCATTCCTAAAGTGAAAGTGGGGGGGGGGGTGGTTTTGAATTCTATGCAGTGCAGAAGTTAACAGTCTCTGAAGGCAAAATCTGTATTAAAATTGTAGCCTACATTGATGGCCCGCACTGCAAAAAAAAAAAAAGCATGCTCAAGTACTAGAGAAACTAGTACTCAAGCAATCCTGTATTATGCGGGTTCTATACATAGCTGATGCTGCTTTTACTTGTGCAGGTGGGGAAAAACAAGGCATTAGAAAAAAAGCCAGTCCAGTCAAAACCTATTACCATTAAGCTTGAAGAAGATGAGTATAGCCATTCCAGACAGAATTTAGACCTACTTCTACATAACAATTTTAAGCCAGGAGAATGAAAAGGAATAAACCTCCTATTTCACCTATAGATTCCTGTCCAAGAAATAAATGCATTGCTATAAAATAATGTAACCAAAAATTAATCTTGGAGTTATATGAAATTATATACCCTATTAAAGGAATCTCAATTATCTTTTTGTCTACATAAAGAAGTAGTCTATCCTGAAGGTCTTCTTCTCGATCAGGAAGATATTCCACACTGGCTGTTATGCGAAGACCAGAAGCAACTGGTTTCTTTGGATTTTCCACAATTAGTTTGAACTACAAAATAAAGGGAGCAAATTTAATTATTTTAAATTATCTTTTAAAATATCTAGGCAAAGCATATATGAAAATGTCCCATTTCCAGCATGATAGCAATATTCTCATTTTTTAAAAAAAATAGGCTCTAAGTATTACATTTTCTGTTAAATTTGATTAATTTATATAGCACATCAATTGAAGCAGCAGAGGAAAATAGTGGGTGGGAATTATTTTGGCATGTAGGAGACAGTTAATAAATAGCAACAATAATGTGTGCAGAGAGAAAAGGTTGACGCCGAGCTGCAGACAGGAAGGTCTGTAGCTCGGCAGTTCGAGACCCTAGTCCCGCGTGATGGAGTGAGAGCCTGTCTCTGGCCCCAGCTCCTGCCAACCTAACAGTTCAAAAGCAAGAAATTGCAAGTAGATAAATAGGTACTGCTTTGCTTGTTTTAGAGAGACTGTTGTCACAAAACAGATAGAATGCATCTTATTTTAATGTATACAATAAAGCCGTTCATCATGACAAAAATCATCAATAAACATGTGTTAGGTAGTTTTTTAAAATAAGACAAACCCAGAGAATCTGTGTTTTAGTATAACTGACTAAGATGGGCTAGGGGAAATTGTATTTGTAATTATAAATCGAATTTACTTTTGGGTTTTAGGCATTTACAAAGTATAGCCAATAGTAAAAATTTGGGAAGATTGTAAGATTTGTTGAAAGGTTTTTATAAACAGAAGATATATTAAATTGTATATTTAAAAAAATAACATAAAAAGGAGGGAACTAGAATACAAATGTTTATTTGAACAAAATTGGTTAGAGAAGGATGTTTAGGAAAGAAAAATAACATGGCATTGCAGAGAATGTATTCATAAAAGTATTATAATGATTAGAATAAAGTTAGCATAGAGAACTTTATTGTAGAAGCTTAAACAGGAGAGAACTTGTTATTAACAGAAATGAAAATTGTAGATTGGGGTAATTATGTTACTTTAAGATATATGTGTAGTTAGACCTACAGAACAGAGTTATAAAAAAGCTAGATTGCAAAACATAGAGGTGCAAAAATAAAAGTACCTATTACGGTGAAAAGTGGTTTATAAACATATGTACAAGGGTGATTTAAGATTAAGCTATTATTACTCTCATATATGTTTGTTTGTCTGTTTGTGTGTTATAAAATAATAACATTTTTTTTTAAAAAAAAGAGAGAAAATGGGGGAAATGAATCTGAAGGATCAAACTCTATAAGATACAAAACTCACTACTACTAGCATTTGGAAAAAACCACTGAACATCAGTTGTTATTCTTTATTTACATTTCAAAGCTGCCATTCTTCTCCCCAGAAAGTCAAAGGTGCTACCAGATATCCACTCCCATCAGCACCACTTGATTCAAATCTGGCTGAAGTCTACTCAAGAAGTTGAGGTGAGGACGAATTGTTTTTTCCTTCCCAATCCACACCCCTATTTTTAACATCCAACCTGACCAACAGCATTGGAGAACTTAAATATACACTGTTTTGCATTATTTTGATTGGGCCTAATAAAGATATTATTGAGATTTCAGATTTCCCTTTGGACCAACGTGGCTACCTGCAACTTCATTCCCCTTAACATCTTCTAGACAGAGCAAACAAGGTCAGGGTGGGTGGAATGATATTAAAAACAATGAGTATTGTCTGATTTTTCAAAGGACCATTTGAAAACATTAACACAAAGGGAAATGGTTGCTTACAAGTTGTAGAGGCCGTCTTCATTCAAAAACAGAAAACGGATTACGTATATACAACACTAACACTATTACCAATGTTCCCTCTAAGCTGTGGAGTCTTGTGAGCAAAAATTCTACTTTGTGAGCTCCTGGCATTAAAGTTGTGAGCGAGCGATTTGGCTCCTGCATAAGTTAGTTTGCTCTGGAGCCGTCCTTCCTGAGCTAAGACAAAAATGTATGAGCTGGAGGCTAAAAAAACTGTGAGCTGGCTCACACTAACTCAGCTTAGAGGGAACATTGACTATTACCGACCCTAAAGTTCATCTTACAAGTCACTAGTCACGCCCCACGACTATCCCACCCGTGATGGAGATTCTGGGCTTCTACATCCCTCCCAATTATTGCCTACCTCCCCTTCCCCACCTGAGGCCGCTGCGGCGGCAATATTTGAAGAAAGCAGCTTTGCGGCTCCAAGTTCTGAACGCTCAGCGACGCATGGTAGCACCCTCCGGGCACCGCATCCAAGAAGCGCAGCTCGGGCGGAGAAATGCGCACCCCAGAGACGTCCAAGGCGGCGGTCGTGATCTCCATGTCCATTCCGAATCCACCCTGGCTCGTCTCCTCCAAGAACTCCAGGCAGGCTCCGGCAAAGCCAGCACCAAAGCGTTCCTGTTTCCAAGGAGACGCAAACTTCCTGCCTGGTCGCCACCGTAGCAACCGAGACCGGCATCGTGACAACGAAGCCCACGCTTTGATTGGAGAAGAGGCCAAGCGAAAATTTCTATTCAGCAACTGGGAGCCATTCAGAATCCTGCTACAGACGGTTCTACGCCCGCCCTATAAACGCGCAAGCGCAGAAGTTCGAGAGGAGTGGGGTCGTTGTTAAACAGTAAGGGTACATAACGCTGGAGTTTTATTTTCTAGAAATCATTGAGGTCTCTGATTCTTGTTCCTAAAGTGTAATGAAAAGAAAGCAATTGTAGCCATTCATATAGAAATGCCTAGTCGAAATAATTAGGTTTTCAAGTAAATGGATGAGATGTTTGTTTAATCACAACTAGCGATCTCATCTGCAGTCCGATCCTGTGAATATATATCTGGAGTAAATCCTTCGGAATTCAATCGGTCTTGCTCCTAGGTAAACGTGCAGACATGGGGTAACAAATCCCAATAAGCGTATATTTGCAAGTGTGCATACATAGACCTGAACTATTTAGTCTGTTGAAGCTAAAATAACGTCTGTAGTGGCTTACAAATAATGACTCTGCAGCTGTCCTACGTATACTTACCTAGAATCAAGCACAACTGAAAATTGTTGGACTGGAGTAAACGTGCATAGACTGCTCAGATTATAATTGTTCTCTGCGCATTCTCACTTGCTTTCACTGAATGCTGAATATAGCACAAGTCTTGTTTTAAGCCCCAATTCCAACATGCTGTATTTCTCTAGGTAAGAACTACATAGGTAGAATGTCAAGGGAAACCATATAGTAATGCTTTACTGCCCAAAACTCGGTATGACAGCCAACACTTCTGAGAGGAGACCTCTGCAAAGGAACAAGCAGATGATGTGTAACAGTGCCATCTACCGATCTCTACCATGTGTAAAAAATTTACTGCAATTTTTTTTAATGAAGAAGTGAGTTTCAAACTGCTGGGGAGACCTGGGATTTACTGTTTTACTTAGATATGTATCTCCTGCTGTCCTCCCCAGTGGGAACCCAAAGCAGTTTGCAATATTGTTCTCTCTTCCATTTTATCCTCACAACAACAACCCTATGATGCATGTTAGGTTGAGAGTGACCTGCCCAAGGTCACTTAGCAAGCTTCCATGGCAAAGGAGAGATTCAAGCCTGGGCCTCCCACATCTGGGCCTGACATGCTAATGACTATACCATGCTGATTCCCTAAGCTTTATTTCTCTTGGGGTAGGAGCTTAAATTAGGGTTGACAGCCTTGAAGTGGGGCCTGAAGATCTCCTGAAATTACAACGGATGCCCAGGCTACAATGATCAGTTCTTCTACAGAAAACAACCCACTGAGGTCATTCATATGGTTGCCAACCTCCAGGTGGCACTTGGAGATCTCCTGCTATTGCAATTGATCTCCAGACAATCAAGACGAATCTGCCTAGGACAGACATTAGGCTAAGTGACTTGTAACTTCCTTGTTCCCATTGGGATTCTTTATACTACTCTCCAGTCTTCTGATCTTAGTGATATGTTATTTATATGTTCAGGTTGGTCTGTGTTGGTCTGAAGCAGCAGAACAAAGTTTGAGCGCAGTTACAAACCAGAAGAAAGCTTTGAATAGGTATTTTGAAAGAACATGCCTGAGTGTTGGTTTCAGTGGTATCTTGTTTTGAGAAAGTAGTTCCTACTTGAAAAAACCTTGCCAGGTGAAATGTGAAACAACATTGCTAGCGTGCCCATAGGAAGACTTCATCGAAACCACTGTCTTTGGATAGTGTTATGGCTCAGTTGTCTAGTTTCAACTTGGAACGTGGATTTTGTTTCTGAACATTGAAGACACCTGAGCACCTTCAACAGAGTGACACATGAGCCTTTGATGGACTATGGAAACGTTTGGGTTTTTGCCCTATGATTTGAGAATTTGAGTTTTGATATTGTTGGTATATGAATAGCTTTGGAATTTGTATTTATGAATTGCACATACGATATAAAATTAATTTTCATAGAATAGTTTGAGTAGTTTAATTATCTTTGTTTAGGTAAAAACAATTTACATGCAGTTGTTTTCTTGGTTACAGCCTCCCAGTGGTGACTGCGGATCTCCTGGGATTATAACCAGTGTTCCCTCTAAGCTAAGTTAGTGTGAGCTAGCTCACAGTTTTTTAGCCTCCGGCTCACACATTTTTGTCTTAGCTCAGGAAGGATGGCTCCAGAGCAAACAGATTTATGCAGCAGCCAAATTGCTCGCTCACAACTTTAATGGCAGTAGCTCGCAAAGTAGAATTTTTGCTCACAAGACTCTACAGCTTAGAGGGAACATTGATTACAACTGATCTCCAGACAACAGAGATCAGTTCACCTGGAGAAAATGGCTGCTCTGGAAGGTGGACTCTATGGTATTATACCCCATTGAAATCCCTCCCCTCCCTAAACCCCACCTTCCTCAGACTCCACCCCCGAATCTCCAGGTATTTCCCAACCTGGACCTGGCAACCCTTCTCTCAGGTGTACAGCATCAGGACCTGGAGATTTATTGATTTTTTAATTTCCCCAGCAGGGTTAGAATTTCATCTCTCATCACTTCAGTTTGACTCATTTCTTCAAACACCCTTCCTGAAAAGAGTGGCTATGGCCTACATACATGCCCCCGTATTCTCCATAGTGAACACATATGCAAAGAATTAATTGAACTTCTCTACCATCTCCCCACCTTCCTTTAACGATCCTTCTATTCCTTGATAATACAATTGCCAATGGGGGGGGGGAGACACAAGCATGGAGAAGAGTGGTGAGAAAGGAAAGCCCAGTTCCACAGACATGCCCAGAGCCTCTTTCTAGAGTCCGTATTTGTTTCCACAATGGGCTTTATTCCTAGTTTGATTTATCTTTCTGCACCCTCAGCCTCACTTGCCTCACCCTCATTACAGCCCTGCTCATTTGTACCTGGAAAAGTGAAGGCAGCTTTTGCACTTCTTAGGATACCAAATAATTTTGTCTTGGAGTACTAAGCCTAAAAATATACCAAAAATGAATAGCCTCAGATGTACATAAGAGTTAGGGGTCTGACTTAATCAGCTAATAAAATTGAGTATTCACATATCTAATTCACTAGTTAATGGTAAGCATTTTGTGCTCTAAAAAGCATTGGTGATTACAGCCATGTCTATCTCAAGTTGTTAATGCAACTGTGCACAAAATAGTTTAGCAACATTTGCACACATTACGGTAGTATAGTGTGGATGTTATGAGAATATGAGTAAGAATAGACAGATCCTTCCTAGCTAGCCAGAAACAAGAGCAGCTGGTCACTTACCAAATCTGGTGAACGCCATTGCTAGCCACAGATGCCACATGAATATCCAGGTGCTACAGCAGATCCAGGAAAATCCCCAATCTGCTTAAATCTATAAAGGCTTAAATCTGCTTTTTTAGTATTTCTGGGAGGTGCCGACATTGCACACAGAATGATATCACCCCCCAGGGGCAACCTGGAATTAGCACATGCAATTGAGACAAGCTGTTAATGATACAAATGTTTCAACTCTACACTGATTTTTTTCCTATAGCATTAAAATATTTCACAAAAAACAACTAATATTTTCCACTGCAGTAACTAAAAATCACCTTGGCTCCTCAGCTATGTTTTAAAAACAACACTTTCTCACTTTCCAAATTGTTTTTTGAAATCCTCGGAGGGATATTTTTTATTATTTTTATAAGACTACAAAACCAGAGGTCATTTCGGGGGGGGAACGCTGGGGAACACAGTTCCCCTGGGTGAGGTGCAGGGGGGCGGGGCACACAACGAAGCCCCACCCCCTTCTTCCGGCAGCCCCCTGCTTCCAGCCTCATTCTGTTGCAGAAGGAGGAAGAAGCAGGAGGGTAAGTTGGCGTCCTCCCCCTCTGCCTGGCCGAGGCAACTCCACGTGGCCTCCGCAAGGACTCCCAGCCCCATCCAGGAGCTTCCCCGAGGTAGCTGTGTTAGTCTGTTGCTGCAAAATAGTCTAAGAGTTCAAATAGCACCTTTAAGACTAACAAATAGCACCTTTAAGACTAACCTTTAAGACTAAGACTAACTGAGTGGTGGGTGTGGTCTTATGACACACTTCCGGTGATGGCAGGGGGTGTGGCATATGCTAATGAGTTATGCTAATGAGTTCCCCTAGCTCTTTTTCTACGAAACGACCCCTGTACAAAACTACAAAGAAATATAAGGGAAGGGGATTACATCTAAGGATAAAGGATAGATAACCACACTACACTAAAAACCCAAGAGGAGGAGATCATATCCGTGTTACTATGGCTGCGGTCACACGGGCAGGAAAATGCGGGGGGGAAGCGTGACTGTTTGCCCCGGGGCAAACTAACGCATAGTTACTCGATCAGACCTCCCCTGGAGGTTCCGTGGGAAGGGAGAGGTGCTGATCACAGGACGATCCTGCGCGCAACAAAGAAGTGCGCGGTGCGGCAAACAGGTGGGGGTTTTGTCATGTACACCAAAAATGTG